AGACTGCAAGGTTACCTAGAGAAGAGAATGTTCGTAATAGGCAGCTTATATTTGATTTCTCATAAATGATTCATTTCCCCTGGACAGCAATTTTCAGTCCGCCTCTCAATTATATATGAATCAGCAGTATATCTCCCTTCACCTCGTGTCCCATACAAATACCTCTTCCTCAACCGACGTGATTACTACCTGCTGAGAAGTGCTATCACGCCATGTAAAATTTTTAGTTTAAACTACCCAGGGCTTTACACTTCCTTTAAAAATAAAATCAAATTCTGCAGCTCTTATATTGTTCTTTTAGGTGTTGGGGGGGGGATGATTGTAAACTTTCTATATTGAACAGACGGTAATTCTCCTTCATCCTCTTTTTCTTCCTTTCCAATTTGAATTCTAACTTAAAAATTACTCAGTTCTTTAGGTAAGTGAAATCCTCTTGTCCAACCCATATCTTCGCAACTCAGAATTTAATTGATGAAATAAATGCAGCTGAGGACTCGAGGTGTGGAGCGGGAACTTGCATGCGCTCTGGCCCTCGTTGACTCCACTGCCCTCTCTGAAAGGTGGAAACAGTGGTCGGCACCTCGGAGTTGACCAGAGGATGCAAAGAGTTGATTCCTCCCTGGGAAGTGCTGGCAGCTCCCTGGCACCCACACAGATCTCAACAAATACACCATTCTCCTCTTCGGGAAGTGAGCAGCACTTTTCTCTCTGACTCCTATGTTGATTCAGTAGTACCTGCTCTGTGCTCTGTTCTCAGCAAAGAGCCTCCCCCCCCTCCCCTCCGCCCCTTGCTCATAACGGCCACAATTTATTGCATGTAGGTTAGTTTCAGAGAAAATGTTTGCCTTCTTTGTAGGAGATTGGAAAACTGCGTCACCAGAAATATGATCATTTACTGCCCACTAGCATTTTATTTTCAGATGTTCAAAATAAGCATCTTGTGTAGATGAAGAGTGTGCTTTTTGACCTCAAGGGAGTGCTGGCTTTATTTAGGAGCAGAAGACAAAGACAGACTAGCTGTTCATACATTCATGTGCTCTCAGCTTGCAGAACTAGCTGCTCCTCAACTTAGGAAACTGAGATTTTTTTTTCCTCTGTTGACTTTTAGACTTGCATTGGTTCTCAACCTGTGGGTCGCGACCCCCTTAAGGGGGGTTGTTCAAATATCCTGTGTATCAGATATTCATGTTATGATTCATAACAGTAGCAAAATTACAGGTACGAAGTAACAACGATAATTATTTTATGGTCCGGAGGGGGCGTCGCAACATGGAATTGTCGTAAAAGGGTTGCAGCCTTAGGAGGGTTGAGAACCCCTGCTTTAAGAGGGGTCTAGTTCCCTTTCCAACTGACAGGTAATGCCTTTGCCTTTGAAGAAGAAAATACGGCATTTAGGTTGATAGACACTGAACTTATTTTAGGACCAAAGTCAATTGAAAGAATCAAGGCTTTCCTACTCAATGTGTGTGAAATACCGAAGGTGAAATAATGGGAATGATACAGGGGCAGGGGTGGGGCGGGGGTGGGGGGTGGGGGTGAGGGGTGGGGTGGAGTTCCGTGACAAAACACATGACCCTGGAATCAATCCCCAGCAATGCCAGAGAGGAGGGAAACCAGAGAGATGGCTCGGCAGTCACTTTTGCCCTGCTAGAGAACCCATGTTCGATTCCTGGCACACATGGTAGCTCACAACCATACAAAACTCTGGTTCCATTGGAGCTGATGCCCTCTTCTGGCCTCTTGATGTACCGGAAACATTTAACACAGGCAAAACATACACTTAGAAAAGTTGTTTATTTTTTAATCTTTTAAAAAAAGAAAAGTTTTTTTGGTCAGTTCTTTATCAACTGGGTAATACTGAAATGTCTGACTAGACCAGTATTTTAGTCTCTCCGCCAGATTGACATTTCTGACTTTTTAGCATTTCACTGGCTCATTCACAAGCTGATTCAACATGAAATGGCAAAGTAAGGTCACCCAGTAATTGCTCTTTCTCAGTTCTCCACCTCTGATGACTCAGTACAGCGCGGACCTCTGAACCATGTGCCACCAGGAATAGATGTACACTAGGAAAGTAACAGCCTGAGAGCCGAGGCCAGGGAAAGAGCTCGGGACTCGCAAGTGTGTTCACAGCTCTGCTGTTTTTAACTGTGCGACCTTGTATTGGTCACAGTCCTCCGGGGCCCTAGATTTCGCATGCATAATGCAAGGTTTTGGGAATCTCTTGGCAAAACCAGGTCAGCTTCAGAATTTAACACCCATCATGGGAGACGGGAGGCTGCATTTTATGGGGATGGTGATTTCTGACTTCATGATTTAAGTAATTATAGTAGTTCTATGGACTGCTGGAAGCCAGCAGCAGCTGATGAGTCAGTCAGCCTTCCCGGGGGAGCTACTGAAGATCTGCAGTGCTTTTGCTGTTGTTATTTTAAAAGAAAGCAACAGCACAAGGTTAGGCACTAATGGTGGAGTGACACCAGGTTCTGGAAACGGTAGCCGAGACCTTGCCCAGAAGGTGCTGTGAGGGACTTGTCATGAGCTGGTTTCCCAGCCGGACCTCCATTTCAGCATTGTCTGGGAAAGGTGCTTGTTTGGGAAATCGTGGCAGTAGAGCATTGCCTTTGAGTAAATAACACCCTACAAATATACGGCTTGGCAAGTCATTACCAGTGGCAGGAGACGGGTTATTTCCTACTGGTTCTCCCACCTCATGGCTTGTTTCCCCAAGGTCAGACATCAGAAACAGGCGCCTAGTTAACCTGTTCTGTCCTGAGATGCAGTCCTACCTAGTGAGGTAGCTGGGACCAAGCGTGACCGTCTCTTGGCTGGGCACGTCCTGGGCTGCCTGTGCCTCCTCCTTCCTCGGGGTCTTACTGGGACTCTTCTGTGGTCAGAGAAGCAGGGAGGAAGTTGCCCTTGCTCTCAGGACTAGAGCAGCAGCAGCCTTCTCTGTGTTTCCCCACAGTCCAGCCTGGCGTGGCACAGACTGCCTGTATGGTGCATGGGGAAAGAGTTGAGATGGACTCTGAGTCGACTGCATCTTTATCCCAGCTGTGGCCTTGGCTGTGGCACTTAGAGTCTGTGACTGAACTTTGGCAGTCAGTGTGGCACTGGTAATCATCACCTTGTAGGTAGCCTCACCGTGTGCATCCAAACATGTCCCTTCCTTAGAGGAGAGAGGGTGAGGATAAGACACCCCCTCTCTCCCAACCACTCTACACCAGGTATAATAAACTGCAAGGCCCACTTGACCTCAGAGAGAGGACAGCAGAAATGCTCACCTCCTTATTATCCCCCAGAAGGTGATGTTGAAATGTTCGAAGCAAAATTCGACTTGAAATTTTTGTAATTAAAAAAAAAAAAAGCCCCCAAAACTTCAGCATGTGAAGTGAATAAAAGCAGATCTTGCTTTGTGGAAGCAGCAGAGATGACAATTTGTAGTACCACCAATAAGAACAATGAAGCTGTGTTAATGACTACCAAACCTTGAAATAGAGCACACAGCAGGTAGCTGGTGTGGCCGCCTTCTTGGAGCATGCAGATGAGTACTCACAGATGGTAATGGTATCTTCTTTTTCAAACCTGGATTGCCAGACTTTGCCAGCAAATGGTTTTACCCCCTGAGCCATCTTGCCAACGCAAATATGGTAAATTTTTTTTGAAATCAAATGATACGATACTTGTCAATTCAGAAAAAAAAAAGATAAAAAGCTTGCCATGACAAAGGTACCCGTTTCTGATGACATGAATGTATGGAATTGAACTTTTCGTGAGGCCACACTCCAATTCACTAAGAAAGAGATATCTGCACAGTTAGAAAGAGTGTGGTGTGTGCAAGGCTTATAACTAAGCAAGGGACAGAAGGTCATGTCCAAGAGTGGGTACAGCTCAAAAGGGAGTCCCAGGGAATGAACTCGTTAATTATTGCATTTTTAAAAAGTGCTTAGATGTTAAAAAAAAAACCAAAGTGTAAAAATGTGTGAGACACCTCCCTGCAGTCCCTGTGTTTTGCAGAAGATTGTCCCAAAACCCCTGCGTGAGATCATGAAGCACTCAGATCTCAATCTGCTCCTTTCTGGTGTGTGTGTGTGTGTGTGTGTGTGTGTGTGTGTGTGTGTGTGTGTACAGAAGTGTGTGCACAATCAAAGGGAACTCTTTTTTAGGAAAGCTAGTTCAACCCAACCTCCACTCATAAAGACAGAGGAGCTGACTCTGTGTGTACCTGGACTTGGGCAAAGGCACATGAACGGTGGCGCATGCTTTCCTAAAACATTCCAATCCTTCTGACATTAGAAACTAGACCAAAGCATTGCCCGCACTCCACGGAACCTTCTGGTTGCCCACACTCCACGGAACCTTCTGGTATGTCTTCGCTGTCCAAGTCGAAGTGCATGAGCGGTAATCATCACTCTTCAAGATAAGAGGCAGAGCTGAAAAAGCTCTGACAGCACACCTTTGATCTGTCACTGGCTTGTGTGTGAGAGGGGGGGCAGCGTGAGGTACGGTTCTCTCTTCCCTCGGACTTTACGATGTGCTGTAAATTGCTGCCACGTTCTTTGATAAGATCGATAGTGACTTTGCTCTTTATCACTTGGGGAAATGGAACACAATTCCCCGAGCTACCCTGTCTGTCCCTGTTGTAATTACCAAGCAGTTCAGTCTCCAGATTAACCTGAAGGAGTGGTTGCTTCGTGTGTTTTGACTCGAGAGGGGCCACGGGGTGCGGGGGGGGGGGGGGGGGGCTGTATCTAACAGACACCTGCAGAAGTGAGCTGCGATCAGAATAACTCCCTTAGCGAGTGCGTCAGAGGGTGCTAATGCAATTCCATTCTCCATAGCTCGGTTTATTCAGGACATAAAATATAGAGACCATGAACCCACGGCATCAAGTCGTTCGATGCCAGCTGTGGAGTCTCCTTGGCTGACCCTTGAGATAGAGGCTGAGCGCTCAGCTTCCCAGAAACCACCCTCTGATCCGCTTTTTCTGGCTTCTCCTTCAGGGTTATCAATGCCGGGAAGAGCACACACAATGAGGACCAAGCCAGCTGTGAGGTGTTCACTGTGAAGAAGAAAGCCGGGGCCGTGACTTCTACCCCAAACAGGAACTCGAAGCGAAGGTCGTCCCTTCCCAACGGGGAAGGATTGCAGTTGAAGGAGAACTCTGTAAGCATCATCCCCACCATGTCTTGGGTAGTCATGTTCTCTAGCCCCGACGGTAAGATGCCAGGGCTCCGTCCGGGTGAGAATGGATGTGGGGAAAGCTAGTCTGCAGATTCAGGGAAGCAGTGAGTCAGCAGGGGCATCGTACATTCCGTGCTGAAGGTGGCACATGTTAGGTGAGCTGGCATTTGTATTTTTAACAAAGTGAACACAACCAGACTGCTATAAATAGTTTGTTTTAGGAGCCAATATATAGCATCTCTGGTGGTTTCAAAGAAGCCGATTTTTTGTGGAGGAAGTGACCTAAAAACCTCTTGTAAGGGGTGGAGGAAACTCCAGCTGTTGGCTCAGTGCCCAGCTCTGACTGTGACTGTCTTTCCCTTTTCTGTCCGTTATACTTGACGAGTTGGAGCCTATTCCTAAAATTCTTCCAACTTGGTATTTGTTTCCTTTGGCCAAAGGCCCTTGCAGCCTATGGGGTGGCCTTGGCAAACCAAATGCCCTCCTATTGAAAAGCCCCAGGGTACATCCCCTCTCCCCAGTGTCTGGAGAACAAAGCAGACATCCTCTCAGAAAAATCTGCAGAAACCCCTGGAGAAGGATGCAGGGGTCACCAACCCTGTGGATCAGCAGATCATTAGGTCCCGTGGAGAAGTGCCCTGTGGAAAAACCAGGGCACATTAAATGAGATGGCCCACATGTGACTATTTGTTCTAAGAATCTTTAGTCATTTTATATATATATAAAATATACAAAATTTTAGAAGGTCTAGTCGTTCCTTCTTTGCCTAGAAAATAGTGTCTTGTTGCATTTAGGCTCAGAGAATAGTGGAAGGATTGAGATCAGTTTGGAGTCAGGAAGCGTAGCGACCTCTGGGGTTCTTTAGCACTTGTTAGAGCTGAAGGAAGCATGGGATGAGGTCTTTCCCAGAGAACCAAAGTCAGGTCTTGACTGGAGAGGTCAGAATGATAATGGTGACGTGCGCGTGTGAGCTCTGCAGCAAGATGGCTCAGGCCATCTGAGACTTACTTGCTCATGAATGTTCGGATACATACTTATTCTTTTAGCCTTTGGTTTTTTTTTGTTTTTGTTTTTGTTTTTGTTTTTTTTTATAACTGCCAAATGGTAGAAGGGAACTGGTCGGGATTGTGAAATCTAATACTGGTCTGTGGAAAAATTTGAGCCAGTCATTGATGAAGAAATTCTTAACATAGGGCTGGAGAGAGAGCTCAGTGGTTAAGAACACTAACTACTCTAGTAAAGAACCCAGTTTCCATTCCCAGCAGCCACATAGCAGCTCACAACTGTCCATAACTCCAGTTCCAGGGGATCTGATACCCTGTCCCGGCCTCTGTGGACACTGCATGCATGCGGTACACATACATACTCACACACAGAAAATAAAAATATGTCTTAATCCTTAAGACGTTAATGGTCGATCTCCTAGGAAGGGCAGTCCCTCTTCGGTCACTGTGTGTAAAGCTCACTGGATTTTGTGTTTACTCCCTTGTGAATGGGGGTTATGTAGTTCTCTGACTCACTTCCACTTGTGAGGGTGGAATTATTGCTGGATGGAGCTCAGAAACTGAGAGTCACTGCTGATAATGAAATGCATGGACATTTGTCCCCAGGCCAGTTTATGGAGGTTTTTCTCCTACTAATCCATTCCTCTTAGAAGTAGAGCCTGAAGTAATGTTTCCACAGAGACAGTGAAAATAGGGGGAAGTGTGCTCTTGGGGTGGAGCCCCGAGCTTCCCAGTGATGGTTCCAAATCTGTATGAGACTTGTAGTCCTGGATGGAGCAAGAAGGAGCTAGACAGAGTGGACACAACTGGCCATCCATTTCTCTCTTTCATTCCTTTTTAATTGTAGGCAAATGTAGGTAACGTAACATTTACCATCTTAACCATTTTAGGTGTACAGTTTAGTGGTATTCACGTATCTGTGCAACCATCACCCTGACCCACCTCCAGAACTTTTTCATCTTCTCAAACAGATGTTTCCCAGGGTGATGGTGGTGTGTGTTTTTTTAATCCCAGCACTTAGGGAGGCAGAGGCAGGTGGATCTCTGTGAGTTTGAGGCCAGCTGGTCTACAGAGAGAGTTCCCAGACAGCCAGGGCTATGCAGAGAAACCCTATCCAATGGGGGTGGGGGGGACGTGTACGTGGAGGAGGAGGAGTGTACGTGCACACTAATTCCTCATTCTGCCTTCCCCTGAGCCCTTGGCAGTCACCATTCTGTTTTTTCTCTCCATGAGTTTGACCACTCTAGGTAGCTAAAATAAGGGGAAATCTACAGTATTTGTCTTGTTGTATCCACCTTATTTGGGGATTCAGGATAACATCTTTGGTTTTTCCAGGTTCTGGTGTGAGTCACCTCCGAAGGTTGAAGAACTTTCCGTCCTAAACATCTTCCTCTTTTTGTTTACTGCTCACCTGTGAATGTGCACAGATGTTGTGTACAAACACTTTATTAAGATTCCACCTCCATTCCTTTCGGATGTCTACCTAGCAGGATAATTTCTGGATTATACGCGAGTTCTGTTTAATTTTTTTTAACTGGCAGTTTTGTTTTCCACTGGCTGCACCATTTTACATTCCTACCCACAGTGCCGTAAGGTTCCAGTTTCTTGTCTTTGCCAGAACTTTTATATTCTTTCCTTTTATATCCTAATATATTTCTAATATATTTGTGGTGGTAGTTCATTGTAATTTTGAATAATGATATTATATTCTAAACCTTTTATTATTTTATTTATATAGGCATATGCACAGTGTGTGTGTGTGTGTGTGTGTGTGTGTGTGTGTGTGTGTTTGAGAGAGAGAGAGAGAGAGAGAGAGAGAGAGAGAGAGAGAGAGAGAGAGAGAGAAAGAGAGAACACCCACAGAGGCTGTAAGTGGGTATCAGATCCCTTCGAGTTGGAGTTACAGGTGTTTATAAGCCATGTGATGTGGATGCTGGAGTCTGGATTCCAGCTTCCTGATAAAGCAGAAAGCCATCTCTCCAGCCCCATGGTACTGTATATCTATGTCCTTATTGGCCCTTTATACATTTGTGTGTGTGTGTGTGTGTGTGTGTGTGTGTGTGTGTGTGTGTGTGTGTGTATTCATTAGAGAATATCTGTTTGAATCCCTTACACATTGTTTTAATTGTGTCTTCTCTTTTGCTATTGTTGGAGCTCTTCTCTAGAAGGCCCCATGACATCAGTTGCTGTGTACCAAGAATGAGATGTTGGGCATTCATCGGGAGGCGTAGACACAAAACTACTCACCCACGAGGCGTTTACATGTACTGAAAGAAGCAGTTAAATGTAGAGGGTAGCCTGGCCTGGTGACACACACCTTTAAACCGAGCATTTGGAAGACAGAGGCAGGTGCGGTTCTCTGAGTTTCAGGCTAGCCCTGGTCTAGACAAGTTCCAGGACAGCCAGGGCTATACAGAGAAACCATGTCTCGAAAAATAAAAACAAAAAGTAGAGTGTGCCAGGTGATGAAGGCTATTGAGAAAAAGGTGGAATTGGGCACTGTGGAAGATAGCAGGGCGGCCATGGAAGGCATCCCTGAGAAGGTGTGCTTTGGAAGAAGAGCATGCTATCATTATGGGCCACTGCAGAGACCTGGACATAAGAGCAGGCCCTGGGTCCTCATGAGTGAGCCAAGAGGTTCCAGTGGTTGGAGAAGAGACAGAAAAGCTTTGTCATGAGAGTGTGATGCAGAATCAGGCGAAGGTCACCTTTGGGTGGCTTGTACACTGACTGCAGACTTTACCAGCTCAAGATGCTGGATACCCTGATTTTTAAAGGTCAGTGATTTTTTTTTCCCCCTGTTTAGAAAACATCCCTTAAGAGTCAAACTCACATATAATAGCACTTCAGGGAGCAAGTGAGAATGTAAGGCCCAGGCTCATAGCACAGTTGGAAACTGTAGCTAATGATAATGTATTATATGCTTCAAAAAGGCTGGAAGGAAGGACTGTGACAGTATAGGACCCACAGCCAGAAACCATCAGTGGGAGACAAATGAGGCAGACTCCGCCTGCTCCCCTGTGACCCCCTCCCTTCAGCCTGAAGACATACCGATCACCAAGCCAATGAGCTGCACCCTGGGGTAACATGAGCTCTGTACAGCTGCATTCCTGCTGGAGCAGGAGAGAGATCACTAAGCTGAGATGGTGTGATGGGGTTAGTGCAGGGAAGATAAGAAACCGGGCTTCTACGGAAGCCTGACGCAGACTGGCCACTGGATGTTGTTCGAATCTAAGATGGTCTTATAATAAAAAACCCAGGGCCAGATATTGGGGTGAAAGCTGAAAGATCAGAGAAGCAGAGCAAGCCACAGCCAGCCTCACCTCACCAACTCCACGAATCCTCAGACTGAAATCCTGAGTCCTCACCCCAAAGGGTCTCAGCTGAACTGCTTTAGTTCCTGTCTCCTCACACCTTATATACCTTTCTCTGCCCAGACTTCACTTCCTGGGATTAAAGGCGTGTGTGCTTCCCAGTACTGGGATTCAAGGTGTGTGCCACCACTGCCTGGCTCTATTTCCAGTGTGGCCTTGAACTCATAGAGATCAAATGGATCTCTGCCTTCCAGTGATAGGATTAAGGGTATGTGCCACCACTGCTTGACCTCTACATCTAATCTAGTGACTGTCTCTGTCCTCTGATCCTCAAGGCAAGTTTATTAGGGTACACAATATATCACCACAACTGGTGGTTTGATGGAGTGCTTCCTAGAGAAAGTGACATTTGAACTGTGATCTTGAAAAGTGAACAGGAGGGGGCCGGGCGGTGGTGGCTCACGCCTTTAATCCCAGCACTCGGGAGGCAGAGGCAGACGGATCTCTGAGTTCGAGGCCAAGCCTGGTCTGCAGAGTGAGTTCCAGGACAGCTAGGGCTACACAGAGAAACCTTGTCTTGAAAAAAACAGTAACAACAAAATAAAGAACAGTAAACAGGAGGGGGCAGAACTTGGTGGTAGATGATAGGCCTCTCATGCATCTG